GGTTGCATCCCTTGCTGGACACCCCTCGGATCCTGGGAGCACGAGCCACACGCGTGGCCTGCAGTGCTTCGGGCGTGAGGGGGCGTGCGAAGCAGCGGGGCCTGGTCGCGGGGGGCCGCAGCCCCTGGCCCGCCAAGCAAACTCCGGCAAAGCAGCCTCTCTGTGGCGTTGCCGGCGTCTTCCCGCAACTCTCTTCCGGGGGCCACCTGCATCCTGCCTCAGACTGATTGGGCAGGGGGCCGCCCCTGCCCCCAGTTTGAGCCCGCCCAAGCAGCTTCAGGCCCTCTCACGTCCACACGGACTACTGGCACTCCGCCTCCTCTGCGGTGGCGTGAGACAGGCAGGAAAAGCGGCAACTGCATGGATTTGCCCCAAATCCAAGGACGCTTTGTGCAGTTCATTTTCTGCTACCTGCAGGGACACGCCTGGCAAGGCCCGCCAGACGGAGGGCTTGACTCAGGGCACGGTGGGCTGGGGGTCTCCACGCTGCCACTGCACCTCTCCCAGGGGACGCCTGCACCTCGCCAAAGGGAGTGGAGTCCCCCTCGGGAGTGGCCGGGGGCCTCTCTGCAGGCCTTGGGGGGCGTGCAGCATGCCCCCGGAGGCGAACTTCTGCAGCTTCCAGCGTGGAAATGAGGGTGCCATTTTGCCTTGAAATGTCGGAGTGCCGCCGCCTCTACCTGGAAGCGGTAGTTAACTAATTAGTGAAAGGATCAGTTTCCTTTGACTGATCAGGCGTTGCTTCAAGCCCTTCTGTGGTCACAAAAGAAGCTCGACTGGACGGGAACCGTGCCTGGCGTGAGGTCTCGGAAACCTGCCACCGGGGGGTGGGGGGTCCGCCGCAGCCCCTTGTCCCTCCCTGTTGCTAGCAGGGCATGAATCTGCTGGGTCAAAAGCCAAGCAGGCAGCGCGCGGAAGACGGGCCATGCGCTGCTCACACGTGTCTGCAGCAGTGGGTGACGTGGGTCCGTGCCACGAGGGGCCGTAAGCACCATGCTTGCCGGGGTGGGGTGGGGTGGGGGTGGCACCTGCGGCCCCCACCAGGGGGCGCTCAGAGCGGCCCGGCAGGATGGGGGCCTTCTGTGGGCATGGCGGCTTGGCGCCTGCATCCTAGGAGGGTCCCCAGAGGGGCTTCTGTGCACTAGCTGAATCTTGGGCCCCACGCAAGGAGGATGTCTCTGCCCGCAGGCTCTTGGATGCCGGCGAACAGCTGCCGTTCACACTGGGGGGTGGGGGGTTTCTGGCTCGCCGAGCTGCTTGAGCAAGGGGCGGATTTCTGATGGCAGCGGGCAGGCAGTCAGCCTCTGGCCAGCATGTGCGGCTCAGACATGGGCTTTCCCCGTTAGCTTTTATTGTGCAATACAAAACCGCACCAGCGGAGCCAAGCCCAAGGAAACAAGGTTCAGTTTGGATGCCAGGAAGGACCCCCAGGGCACGGAATGGGCTCCCGCGGGAGGTGCTTGAGGCCCCGTCGGTGAGGGTGCTCAAGGACAGGCTGGACATGCGCATGGTAGGCCTGTCAGGAGCAGAGCCAGCTAGAGGCGGGGTCAGACTAGATGGCCCGGATCCCCCTTCTGACTCGCTCTGTTTCTATTAACAAGCGGTGGGGGGAAGAGGGAACAAAACTGAAACATTACAAGTTTTGAATAAACTGTAAAAAGAACCACAGTATCAATTAGCTATATATTATACATCTGCATGTGTTGGTCTATAACAGAACATTCCACTGTTATTAAAAATAATTATGCATAGACTTCAACAACGGCGCCCCAAATTTCCATGCATTTATCCACTTGTCGGTTGTGCCTAAGGGCCACCTGTTCACAGCTTGAAAGACTCACGAAATCCTTCACGCCGTGTGTTACTGGAGGTGGCTGCTGATGCTTCCAGTGCTGTTGTTTCAGGCTTTTAGCTGTCAAAAAGGCATGGAAAATCCATTTACAGTGACCTTGCGCTGCGTGCCAAGAAAAGAGTAGATAATTCAAAAGGACACCTGCATCCTTGAATTATTGCCTCCCCCTGAAAGGAAGCCACCATCAGGCGTTGCCAAAAAATGAAGAGGAGCATTAGCCACACCATGCCTCCGACCATTGATCGATTTAACTACGCTGTTATCAGAGAGACGGTGTGCTGTGCAGGATCCTCAAAGCATTGTTTTTGCCAAATTAGAAATAGAGAAACAGAGTGAGTCAGAAGGAGCTTCCTGGGTCATCTAGTCTGACCCGTGGCTCCAGCCAGCTTCAGTCATGGCGTGCCTACCATGTGCACGCCCAAATTAAGCCTTAGTCTAAGCTCCATGACCCCACAGGAAATGGATAATACTGGAGCGCTCCACTGGCTGGGCAAGATGAGGGGCTCCGGTTCATGCTTCCATCCTCGGGGAAGACCCCCGGACCTGAGTGGCAGGCTGAGGGACCCGCTCGGCCCCCGCCGACACTTCCCATGGCGGGTCCGAGGCTGCAAAAGCGACAGGGCCCGACCGGGATTCTGACACGGGTCTCGCTTGCGTTCGTTGCCGTGCGGCATTACCTGGCAGCTGATATTTAGCCCACAAAGCTGAAAATGGCGGGGCATCATTGCCCGGACCGACAAGCTGATCCGAAGTGAAAACCAGGCTGTCGACCAAAGTTAAAACCCTCCCATCCAAGTTCACTCGCCAGTTTTCAAATATGGATTTCCCTATAGTTCTGTGTATGAGAATGCCTCAGACTGCAACTGGCGAGAAAGCATCACTCAGCTCTCCAGCCACCCCCCGGAGGGACGCGTTCCCTGTCTGGGTGTGACGTGAGGAGCCCCTGCAGCCCACCGGGGAGGGGTCCAGAAATGGGAATTGCAGGAACGGCCCGGGAGAGGAACCTAAGTGGGAAGGGGCAAAACCTCGTGCCCACCAACAGATGGGGCCGAGGGGGGAGCACCGTCGGGGAATCCAAAGCGCCCTTGTTGATCGAAAGTGGCAACGCTTTTGAGGATGTTCATGGTGGAGTGGAACCCGATGAAAAATTTACAAAGCGAAACATTCATCTTCTGGAAATACTTGCCAGGTGTAAATAAAGGAATAGCACATGAAACATAAACAATGTGAGGCATTGCATTCATTTTATGTGTATTTAACCTGCTCCACGGACTGAGCTTTAGGGATAGCCCTCTGCCGACGTCTCTCGATCCCACTTGGATCGACTGACTCGCGTCCGACGTCATCATGTGCAGTGCTCCTCTTGGCACGAGGACTCGCAGAGAGGGAACAGGCTCGGACAAAGTCCAAATGGCTGGCGAGATGACACACCAGGAAGCACATTATCTCCAGTAGCCAGGAGTCCCAACTCTGACCCTTTAACAGAATAATCAGATACGTGTCCACAAGGATTAATCATCAGTGTGAAGGCAGGAACGGCTGGCTGACTTCCAAACTAAACAACAAAAGGCCAGTGGCTGAAAGAATTGGCTTAGAAGCACAAATCCATGGCTGTTTGGGGCGCGTCCAGCAGCGAGCGACAGGGTTCCTCTGGCCGGGTGTGGAATCAGCTAAGCACGGCGGCAATTGACCTTGAAGTTAGCTATGTGTGCAGAAGGGGCCGGTGTGGCTCAAGGCTCCCCGAGACGCGGGCTGGGGCAGGGCGTGGGTGTCGACCAACACGCTCTCGGGCAAGGCCCCAAAACGGGTTCGGAACAGTGACGAGCAGGGCCGCCTGGTGCAGGCCGAAGACGCTGCGGCCAGAAAAGGCCCCTTGCCGAAGGCAGGGGGTGGCGCACGTGTCCGGTGACCGCACGTTCCTGCTCGCGGGCAGAATGCGTGTTGCTGTAGGATGGGGCTCTTCCCACGGGCGCGCTTGAAGCAAGGGCCGCTCCTGCGCAGGCTCCCGCCCTGAACTGCCGCGGGGCCGGGCGGGCGCTCTGTGTGCGCTCCGCTCCTTTGGCAGCCGCTGGCAGTGGCGAACGGGGTGGCGACGTGGCCGGCCGAGGCACTGGCCGCACGCCTGCGCTGATGGGTCCGTGCTGGGAGCTGCACTGCCTCCAAGCCGGGGCAGAGGGCTCGGGGTTGCCCCGCAGGGCCCGCGGGATCAGGGGGGCCCTGGGCCACCTCTGCTGCCGGGCTGGTGTCTCCAGGCGTTGCCTGAGCAGTGGCGCGAGCCCCCCGAGCCAGCCCCTGGAGGCACGCGGCGTGTGGGGGAGGCACCGTAGGACGGGCAGGGAGCCGGACGCGTTCAAGACGCGCTGAGGGGCGCCAGGCCAGACGGGCGACCGGTGGCATCGCATCCAGTGCCCCCACTTGAGACTTGGCCCCCAGGCGCTGCGAACCACCCTGAGGGGGGAGGCCAGACTCTGGGGAAGGAAGGGGGGGCCATTTGGGTTGGGATCCACTCTTCACATGGGCAGGTGATGCTCCCGCAGACCAGAGGGGTTGTTGCCTTGATTTATGCAGCTCGTTAGCTGCTCCCGTCGAAAACAGCATCGCCACAAAACCTGCTCAGCTGCAGTACTGTGTAAGCTTTTCATTCTAACATGCTGGAAAGAAAAAGCAGGGAGAGAAGAGCCCTGGGCAGACCCTGCGGCCCTTTGGGCCTGCCCGTCGGTGCGCTCTGGCTTCTCCTACGCAAAGGGTGCGGGGCCCACCCATGCGCCTGTGGGTGCCCCGAAGGTTTGCACGAGATGGGCAGCTTGTCAGGTGGTACAGGGTTATGCCATGTGTGCAAAATCGTGATTCGCACAGGTGCCCGTGCTGTTCAGAAAAAGCTGCCCAAGTCACGGCCCTTCCGAGAGAGAGAGAGAGACGTGCACCAGAACGGCCCACCCTGGCCAGCCCCTGGCCATCAGACCGGCAGCGGGCAGGACACCGGCCAGGCTCAAGGGAACGGGAGCTGGAAGGCGCACGGTGTTTCCTCCCGGGGGGGGGGCGGGGGCGGGGGCACGGACTCGGGGCAGGCCGCAAAACGCGGCTGGAGTGGGATGCGCCCTCCAGCCGCCGCTGCTTCGTAAAGTCGCCCTTCTCTCTTCCTGCAGGCATGGTGCAAAAGCTCGACCAAAAGCTCCCCGTGGCCAACGAGTACTTGCTGCTTTCCGGGGGCGTCCGGGAAGGCGTGGTGGACCTGGACCTGGACGAGCTGAACATCTACGCCCGCGGCACCGACTACGACATGGACTTCACGCTCCTGGTGCCGGCGCTGAAGCTCCACGACCGGAACCAGCCCGTCACCCTGGACATGCGCCACTCGGCCCTGTGCCACTCGTGGCTGAGCTTGCGGCTGTTTGACGAGGGGACCATCAGCAAGTGGAAGGACTGCTGCACCGTCGTGGACCATATCAACGGGGCCACTAACTACTTCTTTTCCCCCACCAAGGTGGCCGACTGGTTCTTTGACTCCATCAGCATCGTCCTGTCCGAGATCCAGAAAAAGCCACAGAGGGGGATGCCCAAGGTGGAGAAGGTGGAGAAAAACGGGACCATCCTCTCCATCATCCTGGGGGTCGGCAGCAGCCGCATGCTGTACGACATCGTGCCGGTGGTGTCCTTCAAGGGCTGGCCGGCGGTGGCGCAGAGCTGGCTGATGGAGAACCACTTCTGGGACGGGAAGATCACCGAGGAGGAGGTCATCAGCGGCTTCTACCTGGTCCCCGCCTGCTCCTACAAGGGCAGGAAGGACAACGAGTGGCGGCTCTCCTTCGCGCGGAGCGAGGTCCAGCTGAAGAAGTGCATCTCCAGCAGCCTCATGCAGGCCTACCAGGCCTGCAAGGCGGTCATCATCAAGCTGCTCTCGCGGCCCAAGGCCATCAGCCCGTACCACCTGCGCAGCATGATGCTCTGGGCCTGCGACCGGCTGCCGGCCAGCTACCTGGCCCAGGAGGACTGCGCGGCCCACTTCCTGCTGGGCCTCATGGACGACCTGCAGCACTGCCTGGTCAACAGGATGTGCCCCAACTACTTCATCCCGCAGTGCAACATGCTGGAGCACCTCTCCGAGGAGACCGTCATGCTGCACGCCCGGAAGCTCTCCTCGGTGCGCTCGGACCCGGCGGAGCACCTCCAGACGGCCATCGAGCACGTCAAGGCGGCCAACCGGCTCACGCTGGAGCTGCAGCGGCGGGGCAGCGCCAGCGGCATCCCGTCCCCGCAGTCCGACGGGGGGGACGCCGGCCAGCCCGACGACCGGCTGGCCAAGAAGCTGCAGCAGCTCGTGACCGAGAACCCGGGGAAGTCCATTTCCGTCTTCATCAACCCCGACGACGTCACGCGGCCTCACTTCAGAATCGACGACAAGTTCTTCTGAGGCGCCCGCACTGCCGGCTGGACCAATGGTTCCCTTCGACCCCGTTTGGGCTTTTTAAAAACATATCCGGCTTAGGTTAGATTTGTCGAGAACACCAAAAAAGTCTTCTTGGTTCTCCAGGATGGTGCAGTACGTTCTTGTTTCATTTGCTGCTACCCCGACCTCCCGTTTGCGTATATGCATTTCTGTAGTTTTAAAGAATAATTTGGAAACCCCTCCCCCACGCACACCTGTGCTGTGCGTGCACACACACCCATACACACACCTGCGCGTGCGCTTTGTGTGTATGTGCGTGTGTGCCGCCTGGCCGCCTGGTTTTCTGGCTTCTTTTGTGCGGGCTGAAAGTTCCCCTTTCCCGATTCCCTGCAACGCGATCTTTTTTCTCCTTTTCTGTTGCTGCGGTTTGCTTTGCTTATTCCCGTGCCACTCTTCTGGTGAGTGTAAGAAATTCCAGGCAGGAATTTTTGGTTCGCTTCCTGTCTTTGGCCACGGCCCACTTCGATTTGGCCCACTTCGCCTTTCTCAACCAAGTTGACTTTGCAAACAACGATGCAACAGACTTCTCAAGGGTTGGGTATCCCTTCTCATCACCTGTTCTTGAATGTAATCGTTTGGAATTGAGAACGTTGCTTCTGCCAATCTTCCATGCGGAATAAGGTTCTGGAATGTTAGTTTTTAGTGTGTGTGTAATTATTCAATGCCTTATTTAAAAGCTATTAAAGAACATATCATTATAAATGTTAATTGGCACTAATTTGCCCCTGCTGTGATCCACTGGCTTTTCACTTCTTTTAAGAGGAGCATCTGTCGGGCTGCTCCATCAGATGTGACGCCGGGCAGAACGCCTCGACCGAGCCCCACCCCGAGGCCCCTCAGCGGTTCCTGCTGGATCGTCCTGGTGCACGATGGGTTATGCAGAGTGGGGGGGCCTTTGGGGGTCCCCCTAGCCTAATCCTGGCCTCTGGGGAAACAAGCCTCCCTCGGTTCCCTGCTTCTGCGAGATGCGGCGGTCACGATGGCTTCCTTTTGCGGTGTTGTGAACCTGGCACCGGGGGGGGCCCTTGGGGCATCTTCTCTCTGGGGCCCGTGCAGTGGCGAGATGGGAGCCCTGGAGAGGGGCACTCCCGCTTTGCCCCAGGCACCCCTGCAAGCTCAGGGGCTGGGCGGCTGCCCTTCGGGGCCGGTCCTCGAAGTCCCGTGTGTGCGAGCGGCTGGGTGCAATTCCGCCTTGAGGCCGCAGGGGCCTCAGCGTCTGTACCCGGTGCTGGTGTCTCTTCCCCGGCCGCACTCCAGAGCAGGCCCAGGGGCCCAAGCCAGCTCTTCCACCCCTCCTCCCATCTTTCCCACCAGGTCCCTGACCCAGCCCCCCACCCCCCATGATGCTGTACAGTAGGGTGTGGGGTGAGCGACGAGGCCGCCGGCAGCCTTACTTGCAGCAAGGTCTGCTTCATCCCCGAGGAGGAAGGGGGGAGTGGCGGAGGGGCCCCGCATCCCACGGACGCCCCCACAGTTGCGTTGATCTGTGCACGGGACCCGGACAGCCAGGAGCAAACAGTCAAGCGCAGCTGGGCCACCGAAAGGCTGGGGGCGATGCTCCGGCCCGGTCTGAGCTGGGGGGCAAAGTCTGTGGGGCCCCCACTTCAGCCCAGCACTGTGGCTCAGGATTGCAGGCCGCCTGTCCCAGGGAGCCGGCCCAGCCAAGGCACCGCACCTGAGAGTCCGGGGGCGTTGGGAAGACCATGCCAAATAGGCATGTACGCATTTATTGAATAGCCGAGGAAAAGGGGATGCAGCACGCGAAGATGCAAAGAAAGCTTGGCTGTCAGGGCCGCCGCATGCATCCCTCTTCCCCAGCCGAGAACAACAGGAAGCCCCTCTAGCAGTGGACTCGGCAAGGGTCCTCCCGCTGTTGCGGGCCTGGCAGGTGCTCACAGGCCCAACCCAAGTCCTCCCCAGCAGGCAGTGGCAGGAGTGTGAGGAGAGACTGGGAGAACTGGGCATGTCCAGCCTTGAGAAGATAAGACTGAGGGGGCATGATATCCCTCTAGAAGTCCCTCAAAGGCTGTCACAGAGAGGAAGGCCAAGATCTCTTCTTGCTGATGTGAGTGCAGGACACAGAACAATCAAGTCAAGCTGCGGCAACCCAGATTCAGGCTGGACATTAGGAAACGCTTCCTCACTGTCAGAGCAATACGGCAGTGGGACCGGCTGCCCAGAGAGGTGAGGGCTTCGCCTCACTGGGGACATTCAGAAAGGAACTGGGCAGCCCTCTGAGTGGGGTGGTGTAAACTGGTGTCCTGCAACAGCAGGGGGTGGACCCGAGGGCCTTCCTGGCCCCTTCCCACTCTCCTCTTCTGTGATTCTATGAATGAAGTGGCTTCAGTAAGCCAAGCAGCTTCATTCTCCCAGCAAAAGCAGCGCTTCTCTACCGCAGGGCCACAGGCGGCAGCTTTGGGGCAGCCACGCCTGGCGCTCTTCCTCACGAGCTGCAGGCCATGAGGCTTGGGGGCGCTTTCCAGAAACTGTCTTGGCTTTGGGGCACTGGGAGGGTTCCGGGTGAGCCTTAGCAAGCTCCTCCCAGTTCTTCCAGTACAGCCCCTTCAGTGCACCAGAGCGCCCTGGATGGGTTTCCGGGCCCGTTCTTTGGCAGTGCTGCTCTTCAGAGCCCACTGTCCTGGTGGAGTGGGGCCAGTATTTGAGCTGCCCCATGCTGCTAGGGAGGGCGAGGGCCCCCTGTAGCGCACAGCTCACGCGGTGTGTGAAGGCCCCATGCTCCACCTGGCAGCATCTCCCAGAAATGGGGCCCAGGCCAGACACGAACCGTTCTCTCCCTCGGGTCCTGGGAGGCTGAATCAGGCAGAGCAGATGACGTATTCCAGCGTTCTTCACGTCCTACGTCGCAGTCATCTCTGCGAGGGAGGCCAGCAGCGGGTCGGAAACGCGGGAGGCGGTAGAGAGACTTGAATCTCATATTTCGCAGCTCACTTTTTCCCATCCATCCTGGTCTCATAAGGCCAGAACCTGGTGGGGGCGTCCCATGAAGCTGCTTGATGGGAGATTTGGGTGAGAGAACAGGAAGTCCTTCCCAGTGCAGAGTTAGACTGGAATTCACTTCCACAGGAGGTGGTGAAGGCCACCAAGCTGGACAACTTCAGAGGGGGTTGAACAGATCCATGGAGAAGAGGGAGGCAGTTCGGTCCCCTAAGACAGCGATGGCAAACCTTTAGACACTGAGGGCCCAAAGTGCAACCCAAAACACGCTTATCACAAAGTGCTAACATTACAATAAAGCCTGAAAACTGAGGTTCTAGTTTAGAAAAAACAACGCGCAGCCAGTCCAAGGATATATACATGTATATCCGGGGCAGTGCACTGAATGGACATGCGAAAGCAGAGACGAGTCGTGGTCTGTGGTGTCGCCACCTGGCGTCGCTCCTTTCCGGGCATGCGCAGGGCCCCAACGTGCGCTGTGATCCGAGGCTCGGTGGCTGCAGCGGTGCTGTGGTGACGTGACTCGGAAGCTGGCAGAGAAAGCTTTGCGTACCAGATAAGGCACATGGGCCATAGGTCCACAACCAGTGCCCTAACCACACCCTGCAGCATTCCGCTAAAATACCATCGAGGGGTGATTTTGAAAAAGCCTTCTCGGAGGAAATTTTCCTGCGCAGCTCATCACTTCTGCCCATGCTAAACACATTCCAACCACCAGAATCATGCTGGGACACCTCGTTTTGCTAACCCTAACCCTACCCTGGGGCTGACCCCTAACCCTAATAAATGCAAAAAGTTCCATTGAAAATAGTGCGATTTAGAAAAAGGCTTCGTAGATGAGCTTTTCCAACGCAGCCCATCATTTCTGCCCATGCTAAGCACATTCCAAC